TCAATGTAGGAGAGAAACACAAACCAGTTGCCTCTCACATGTGCCCTTATTGGGCATCAAACCCACAATCTAAGTATGTGCCCTGACCAGAAACTGAACCCGCAACCTTTTGGTGTATGGGTTGATGCTCCAACCAACTGAGCCACCTAACCAGGGCTCCCCATTTTTAAATTATTCTTTTTTGTATTATATTTATTCTTCTCTGACTTGGGTGTTGTACATTTGCACAATTGCCAAAATTCTTAGTTTTAAGAAGCACTTAAAAGACTGCACACACATCCCATTTCAGATACAGGTCTGGTAGTTTTCAGTCATACACCCAAACCCTCCAATATTTCCCTTATGTTTAAAATCAACCATACTTCAATGCCTTAAATTTAAAGTTAACTATTAGAGCAAAATTCTAATTAAAAAAGGAAATATTACAGTGATGTCAGCAAAAATGGTGAAGTAAGGAACTTTAAAAGCCACCCCCCCCCCCCGAAAAAAAAATAATGGCTAAACAAGCAAAAAGTCATAATCAACTATTTGGAACTCTGGAAACTAAATAACAGTTTACAGCAACCTAGAAGGTAGTTATTCAGGAATATCAGTTGAATCTTAATAAGAATAGTGAACTCTGAGGCATTTTAACTTATTCTAGTTCCATCCACTGTTTTCTACTTAAGCTGCAGTCTTGAAAATAACAGCACACATTCCCAGTAATATTACCAAAGGGAAGCAGAATATATTTAATTATTTGCTTTGTCTTGTCTGGGTGGATCCCTGGAAAGACTGGCTCAAAAGTTTGTCTTTGTCTTGCCAAACTGGGAACACACTTAGTGTTAAAGCTGCTAACTTAAGTCACTTGTGGAAAATACTTACAGGCAAATAGTTCAGATGTTGCTGTCTGAGGCAACAGATAACAGTCAGGGCAAATAGTAGACTAAGCAGAAAGCTTGGGAGGAAAGGCTGGAGAATGAGATGCTTTGGGGATTTAGACTATGAAGAACTTAGGCACACTCCTGGAAATTTAGAAGGCCATGTGCATGCCCAGGAAAGGCTTGAGAAGTCCTCTGGCTCACCTTGATGCTTTCAGCAAGCAGTAGGTGATTGCTAAGGTAGAGTTGCAAACTGCCTGGTGGAGTTTGAAGACATGCTGCAACACACACTCAGAGCTCCTCTATAAAAGCTAGGAGATATTTTATATTCTGGGAGTTTTATATAATTATCAACTGACCTACATTAAATAAAGAAACAGAGACTTCAATGGTCACACTTGACAAAGAACACAGACTACAGAATTAATTCAGAATGGTCACTAAACAAAAAACAACTAAAGAAGTAGCAACAACAAACCTTTGGGGAAGGGGTAGAATTTGATTTTGAGTTGCCACATTATAATATTCAAAATTCCCAGGTTTCAACAAAAAATTGTGAGGTATACACATAGGAATTTATAGTTCATATGCAGGAGAGAGATCTCAAATCAATTACTTAAACTTCAATCTTAACAAACTAAATCGAAAGTAAGCAAAGGAAGTAAATAATAAATATTAGACAAGAAATAAATGAAATAGAGAATAGAAAAACAAAGTAGAAAAGAGAAGAAATCAAAGTTGAGTCTTTGAAAAGAACAATGAAACAGACGAACTTGCAGTAGACAAACCAAGAAAAAAAGAGCAAAACTTATTAATCAGAATGAGGAATGGAAGTGGAGACATTACTACCAACCTTGCAGAAATAAAAATGATTGTAAAGAAATATTATGATAAATTATATACTAAAACATTAGATAACCTAGATAAGATTATAAAATTCATATAAATACACAACCTACAAGAAGAAATAGAAAGTTTAAATAGATGTATGGTAAGTGAGGAGACTGAGTCAGTAATCAAAAACTTTCACCACAGAAAAGCCCAGAACCAGATAGCTTCACTGGTGAATGTGTTTAAATGTATGAAGCCGAATTGATAGTAATCCTTATCAAGCTCTCTCTCTAAAAAAGAATATTTCTTAATCATTCTTTGATGCCAATTATTACCCTGACACCTAAGCCAGACAAGAACATCATAGAAAAAGGAAACTACAGATCATTATATTTTATGGAATACTGATGTAAAAATTCTCAACAAAATACTAGCGTACTGAATCCAGCAACATATCATACACCATGGCCACACGAGGTTTCGCCAAGGAATTCAAAATATGTTCAATCAATGTAATATGTCATATTAATAATTTAAGAAAAAAATCCCACATGATCATCTCAGGAGATGCAAAAAAGGTGTATGACAAAATCCAACACCCTTTCATGGACACAACAAAACACTCAACAAACTAGGAATAGAAGCAAAATTCCTCAACCTGATAAAAGGCACCTAAGAAGAAACTATGCTTAGCATCGTACTTAATATTGATTGACTAAAAGCTTTCTCCTTAATAATAAGACAAAGATATACTGGATGTTCTAATCAGGGCAATTAGGTAAGAAAAAGAAATAAATATCAACCAGGTAAGAATGGAAGAAACATACTTATATGGTCCCTATGACAAAGGAGGCAAGGATATACAGTCGCTTCAGCAAGTGGTGCTGGAAAAATTGGACAGATACATGCAAAAAATTAAATTGAACTACTTTATTATACCACATACAAAAACAAACACAGAATGGATTAAATCCTTAAGTGTAAGACCTTAAATCATAAAACTCCTAGAAGAAAATATAGAAAGTAAACTCCTTGACTTTACTCTTGGCAATATCTTTTTGGATATATCTCCTTGAACAAAAGAAAAACAAATGTGACTACATCAAGCTAAAATGTTTTTGCACAGCGAAGGAAACCACCAACAAAACAAAGAGACAAGGTACTGAATGGGAGAACATATTTTCCAACGATACATATGATTAAAGGGCAAAAGATGTGAATAGACATTTCTCTAAAGAGGACATACAAATGGTCAATAGACATATGCAAAAATGCTCAACATCACTAATCATCAGGGAAGCGCAAATTAAAACCACAATGGGATATCACCTCCCACCTGTCAGAAAGGTTACTATCAATAAATCAACAAACAAAAAGTGTGGGTGAGGATGTGAAGAAAAGGGAACTCTTGTGCACTGTTGGTGAGACTGTAAACTGGTGCAACAACTGTGGAAAAGAGTATGGAGGCTCCTTTAAAATTTTAAAATAAAGCTTCCACATGAGTCAGCAATTCTACTTCTGGGTATTTATCTGAAGAAACCAAAATTTCAAGCAATTAAAGGGTAATATGCTAAGGCTGCTCAATCGCTCGCTATAACATGCACTGACCACCAGGGGGCTTTGCAAAGATATATGCCTCCCATGTTCACTGCAGATTTACTAGTTATAGCCAAGATATGGAAGTAAACTAGATGTTCATCAAGTAAATGGATAAAGACAAATACACACACACACACACACACACACATATCTATATATATCTATCTCTCTCTCTCTCTCTCTCTCTCTCTCTCTCTCTCTATATATAGATAGATGATAGATAGATAGATGATAGATAGATAGATAGATAGATGATAGATAGTGGATAGATAGATAGATATAGATAGATAGATATCGATATAGATATATAGATAGATATAATGAAATATTATTCAGCAATAAATTAGAATGAAATCTTGCCATTTGTGGCAACATGGGTGAACCTAGAAGGCTAAGTGAAATAAGTCAGACAGAGAAAGACAATTATCATTTCATTTATATGTGGAACCTAAAAAAACAAAGCAAATGAATAAACAGAACAAAAAAGAAACAGACCCACAGATATAGAGAATAAATTGATGGTTGCCAAAGGGGAGGGGATGGGAGGATGGGATAAAACATAAATAAAAAGGAAAAAAGAAAGAAATCAAACTCTCTCTATTTGTAGGTGACATGATTTTATAGATAGAAAGTCCTAAGGAATCCATACACAAAAAAACTATCAGAGTTAATAAGTTTAGTAAAGTTGTAGGATATAAAATCAATATACAAAAATCAGATCCCTGTACACTAGCAATGAACAATAAAAAACACAATTACAAAAACAATTTCATTTAGAGTAGCATTAAAAATAATAAAGTACTAAGCAATAAATTTACAAAGAGAAGTACTATAAAACATTGTAGAAAGAAATTAAAGAAGACTTAGATAAATGGAAAGTATGCTGTGTTCATGGACTGGAAGGGGAGAGGGAAAGCTATTTTGCTCCCCCTACAAGTATTATATTTCAGATTCACTCCTTACTCATCATTTCAACAGGTGAGGTTTGGTAAGCTATTCACCAGACCCAGAATTATATAATTTATTGGAATGGTGTCACTTATCAGAATTGTAAATAATAATTGTATTATTTACTTGAATTATATCATTGGGACTTAAGGAAATAAAAGAAAAAAAGGTTTTTATTAGTTATCAAAACAAAATGAGCTTGGGTCAAATAATGTCAAGAGAGTCTTAATTTGTCATTTTGCTCAAATGGTAGATTAACTAAAAAATTTCCTCTCCAAATATTATTTTTCCTAAGGTTTTAAATTGTTTTCTTTTTCAACCTCAACTGAATATTTTATCTATAGACAAATAAACATTTGTTGTTTTTAGGGAGACAACGGCAGGTTCTGTGATTTCCTGTAAAATGCACATACTTCTGAATTACAAGCATCTTCTCACTTTGTACGATGGAAACTTGAGAGGCCTGTTGTGCACTGGGAAGCAGGACTAAGAGGCTCTGGAAATGCAGGGCTCTCGATGGCCACGATGACAGAGCCCGGCCAGCAGACAGATTCCAAACAGTCAAGTCCTGTTAAGGCTTCTAGATCTCATTTCAGTTCTCTGATCTGAAAAATTTTATAGCTGCACCTCCAAGCCACAACTGAGGGAAATTCAAAACAAATTTGGAAAAGCAACCTTAGCTCTTGTTTACGGATAAAAACTTTAAAAGGCACCCTCTCTGCTGCCCCTTCAATTTCTTAATCAAAGGTAAAGGCCTGCAGAAGACCAGGACAGTTTGGAAACACTGCTTTGCTGCTTCTGAAGCAAGCTTGGCTGTCTCTCCTCTTTGCCTTGGGTGTCCTCAGGAAAAGAAACTTAAACATAAGGAGCAGAACAATGGGAGGACAGGGTGCAGGGAAGCCAGAGGCCCTTGGAGTGACTTCTGAGGTAAAAGCAAAGCCAGAGCTTTGTTAAGAAACAAGAGCTTTGCAGTGACCGTAGTACACGGTAGTGCGTGTGTAGAGACTACAAATAAGGCTGAGAGTTAATAAAGATAAAATCACTCTGCATACGAGAGCCTTTCTATTGTTGCCTGAGTGTTAAGGAGAATAAACAAAGGAAATAAAACTACAGGTAACTCTGCCCTCCTAATAAATTATTTCTGCTCTCATTTCTCTTTCCAGAGCTGCTGCAGCTATTTTATGCTCAAACATACTGTCGCTAAGTTTCTGGAGCTTAACTAAAAATTTAAAGCTTCCCGCTTCATAAAAAAGCATATGGAGTTTTGGGGTTTAAAATAAAAATGAGACTATTAATCTCAGTCTCAGGGATGGTGCCTGCCAATCAGATCAGTGGCAGCCCTGTGCCCTGAAGAAGCGAAGCAGTTGTTAAGTATTTGATGAATTCACCACCCGTGTGGTTCAAATCTTGATCTCAGGGGAGGTAATGGCCAGGGAAGGTCTCCAACCTAATATTACTAGTATTTTTAAAGTCAGTCTCTCTCTTTCTCTATCTCTCTCATCCTTCTCTCTTATTCCCCTTCTTGGTTAATAGCCTCATTATTTAGCAAACTGTCCCATATAGAAACTTGGGCAACCACTGTCTTGGTGGCTTCATTCACAAGGACCCACAGTTGTGTGGATTCTACCAGAGAGTTTTCCTTCTCGTCTTCCTTCCCCCTCACTTCAAGCTCTCAACCCTTTTTTTTTTTAACCTACAGCTGATCTGCCAAATATTAGTACTCTCACCACGCTTTCTCCAGTCCCCTCATTCCATCTTAGATACTGCTATCACCTTGACTGTCCTGGAATTAACTTGTTAAAAAACAATTAAAAACTTGATCCTGCCTGGGCTGGAGTGTCTTAATGGTTGAGCTTCGACCTATGAACCAGGAGGTCACAGTTCAATTCGTGGTCAAGACACATGCCCCGGTTGTGGACTTGGACCCCAATGGGGTGTGCAGGAGGCAGCCGATCAATGATTCTCTCTCATCTTTCTATCTGTCCCTCTCTGTGCCTCTCTAAAATCAATAAAAATGTATTTGAAAAAAAACACACAAAAACAACAACTCGATCCTGCTGTAAAGGGCACCACTATTAAAGTATTAACTTCTCGGAACAGCACACAAGGCCTCTTTAATTTTGCATAGAACAGAATAGGAAAATTAGTTCCTTTAATTTGGAAATGAAACTATAAATTGTGAGAAATAAATGTGATTAGATAGTATTCAAGACCAGTTCTAAAGAAGCTTTTTCTTTCATTAGGATTTTATGCATTTATTGAATCGCTTTCCCTGTACCCCAAACAAGACAGTGACTCTCAAATGTTTTGTATTGAAGAATGGAGTGCAGCCCCTTTGGTCTCAGCATCTATTTGAGTAACCAACCACAGATAAATGCCTGGGATCCCAGGGTAAGAATTACATTCCCTTTCAGCCATAAATGAGCCCTAGTTTGAACAATAAATGAAATGGTCATCTTAGTCATACATCAGTTTTAAAGAGAGAATTAGTTTTCTACTAAGTATCCTTTGTAAAATTTAAAATGGAACTCTTTATTGTATTGCTAAATACATAAAAATGGTCTTCTTAAGCATTGTTTTTAAATAATGCAAAGAAAGATTTAAAGAAATAAATACCTAGATACAATAGGCAATTTTTTCATTGTTTCAGTTAGGAAATCACTTAAAGTTAAGTTCTTTCAGACTTTGAACTCACCAAAGAAAATATTAGTCCTTGAATTTCCTCTCTCACTATCTACCACCACTGGCGGGGGTGAGGAGATAAGAGGAAGTGGGTTTCCAGAACAGAATGTATTTTCCTGTAGAAACTATGGTATGAATTGTAATTCAGTGAATACTATTCTGTTTAATGGTGACTTTTGACTCAAAAGGCATTATTCAGATTGGTTTGAACTTCTTTTTATTTATAAAACTGCTTACATATAAAAATGTTACTATTTATAAAATTATTTAAAAGATAATATGTTCTAAATTCCAAAACTTAGATATTGAAATTAATTTCTGAAACACAATAGTTTTAATAGAGTCTATCTAAAATGTTTATATTCTATTTATATTAATCACTCCCATACATGTTTGTTTGGCTGGGATTGGTGGGTGATAGAATTAATTCAGGCAATAAGGACAATAAGGAAAGTATGACATCAAGAAAGCCTTTGAGATGGGTGTGATATAGACAGAAGAAGGTGGTAAGTAAAGGTGAAAAATTACGAGTGAACTTGGGAAATAGCAGCTAGCCTATTTTTGCTAATTATGGGGCGTATATAGGAAAACAGTAAGTTTTGCTACCCTTGGTAATGTCTTTTTTATGGTAGCAAATTTCATAAAATAATAATTAGTCTTTATTACCAGTGACATGCTATTTCATAGAAAGAATGGTGGCATTAATATATTAATAGAAATTTAATATACAGAAATAAAACCTATTTAAATTTTATAGAAAAGATGGTGTTAGTAGTTTCAATTTTTGAAATGGTGAGAAGAATTAATAGTGATTTAAAATGAAAGCTCACTTACACAGTGGAAAACTGCCCAATCTTTCTGGTAAGAAAAAAGCTGTCATTACTTAAGACAATCAAGAAATCTGGGCAAGAAATATGATAAAATATAAATAATGATCAATGTTATTAAATGATTTTGAAAAATTATTTCCATAATTGTACAAATATAAAACAAATATCTCAAGAAGCATATATACTATTTTGAAATAATTAAAATTAAAACATAGGTCATAATCTTTATCAAGTATAAAGTCAATAAAATTTGCAGTTTGGTAAATATTGCATCCTGCTTATATTTCTTCGATGTGCATGGAAAAGTACAGTGTCAGTAGCAAAATTAAGCAAAATGCACTGTGTTGTACACACTGAGGAGCTGGCAAATTTCCCCCACTTCCCCAGCCCCCAGGGGCTACGTACCAAAGGTGCACTTGATGGAACTCCCGTGGACCAGGTTGCTGGGGCCACTTTCGGCTGCCAGTTGGCACCACCAGTCAACTTTTTCTCTCCAGCATTCCACTGAAGATCTCCCCTAAAATCAAGCATGCAAACCACACGTAAAACACACTAATCAGAAAAGAATGATGTGTGATTCCTGAGATACTTTTATTTGAGTAGAAGCAGTCTGTTTGAGTCCAGTGATAATAAAGAACACAGAGTAAAACTTACAGAAGACGCTTAACGTATTGTATCTAAGAAAGCTTTAAAGCATTTGACAAAAATAATTTAGAGTCTGGACCTCAATGATAACAGGAATTTTCTATTATTTCTTTTTTTGTTAATTTAAATTCTTTATTGTTGAAAGCACTACATGTCTCCTTTTTCCCTCACTCCCCCTATCACTTCTAATAGAAAAATATGCCACAAATTTAACTGAATCCTTCACTCGTTATAAAAAATACTAAATAACTGTACCATAAATACTATATACCTACACTTTGTTGAATTTGAGGTGCATCCATGATGTCCCTTTCTGGATCAACAGAAGGTTTCACACAACTATATCATAACTACAACCTGCATTACAATGACTGTAAGATACCATATATTGGTAAAATGGATCCCAATTTCGGATGTTGAAATATGTATCTAAAAAAGGGTACACTGTTTATCATTCTTACCATCCTTCCTTAAAATTGATCCCCCATGAGAGACTTAAAAATCAATGTTAATTAGAAATACTGTAATGAGTCTAGAATTTAAAGCTATTAAATTATTCAAACCACAATTCCCCAGTATTTCTAGACTAGAAGCCCAGTGCACAAAATTTGTACACTGGTGGGGTCCCTAGTGACTGCCGGCTGTCAGCCAGGGCCTCCCTCCCTTCCCCTGGCTGGCCCCACCCCCTGGTCGAACTCCCGGACGTACTCCTGGTCGAGAGGACAATTTTTATACTTCACTTTTATTATATAGGATAAAAGTTCATGACAATCTTGGAGACTAAAGTATATTATTCCTTTTCATTGTCAAAGCCAACAGTTTGGATGTTCCAGTAGAAAACAACAAAAACAAAAACCCAGAATAAAATAAAAAACAATTCTAAAATTACCTAGCCTGAGAATGAGTAATTACTTTAATGAAAACAACATTTGATAGTCTCAAATAAGTACAAATACATTGTCTCAACAAAATCAGATAGCTTAAAAAGTACTTACTTTTTGGATGTGGTGCCAGAAATCCCAAGATCTATAAATGGATAAAAGAAAAAAAGAATTTAAAACTCTATACTCAGCTTAAATGATATGACATTTAAAAGATCAAAGACTCAGAGGTCTAGGAAAAGTCCATATTTTGCCTAGGAATGACTACATTCAGTTATACAAAGGAGAAACTATGTCAGGAAACATTCACAAATCTAACATTTTCTTTTACTTTACATTATACTTAAGGATCGTATTTTAATGTCAATTCGTGTTCAGAAAAAGAGTAAACAGGGGAGGCTGGAGACTGCTATCTTAGAAAGGTCTATGTGGCTGGCATCTGGGAACCTAGCTAGTAAATTATTCTCTACACTGAGATAAAACTTTGCCTCATGATAAGGGTGGCTTGCTGTGTCTAAATCATACAAACAACGTGATTTATGCTGAACACCTGCTTTCCTTCTTCGAGACTGAAACTTTATCACGTGATCAGCATCCAAGAAAAATCCTGGGTGCTGAGTCTCTAAAGAGCTTCCTTGGGCAAATACATCACACACGTGGCCACATTTCTATATGGCCTTCCCCTCCTGGGAATGAGAGAGCATAAGGAAGTCTGAGCATGGATTCCTCCAGATTCTGCCTGTGTCTTTTCCCCGATGATCCAGCTGTGCATCCTCACCAGCTGCTGTAATACATCTTAGCTGTGAGTACAGACATGTGCTGAGTCCCCTGAGTCCTTCTAGTGAATCAGTGAATGGAAGGGTAGTCTTGAGGATCCCGACACAACCAGCTTCATTGTTCTGCTCTAATCTCAGTCCATTTACTACGTCAGCCAATATTTATTGAGCCCCTACGTATACACCAGGCACTGTTCTAAGTGCTTGGGTTATGTTAGCAAAGGGAAAAAATAAATCCCAATCCTGGATGAACTTACATTCCAATGGGGTGAGATGGATGATAAAACAACATATATAAAATAATAAAGTAAATTATGTAGGCGGTTAGAAGGTAAAACGGAAAGCCTATGGAAACATGAAAAGAAAGAGCAGGATCTGGCGGCATAGGATGAGAGTGAGGGCAGGCAGTACTAAACAGATGCTCAGGGCAGGTCTTGTGGAGAAGGTGAGACTTGGGCAGAGCTGAGCAGAGATCCGGGGGAGGAGCTTGCTAGCTGTCATATGGTGCACTGTCTGCCCAATGGCAACTCGAGGTTTAACATTTCGAGAAACTGCCGAACTGCTTTCCACCGTAGCTGCCCAATGTTGCCTTCTCACCAGCAATGTCAGAGAGTTTCAATTTCCCCACATCCTCACAGACACTAGTTATAATGTCTTTTTTTATCATAGACGTTCTAATGGGTGTGAAGTGATATCTCATTGTGGTATTGATATGCATTCCACAGATGACTGATGCTGAACATCTTTTCATGTACAAAGTGGACATATACTTTTTGGAGAAATGTTTAAGTCATTTGACTATTTTTAAATTGGGTTACTTGTCTTTACAGTATTGAGGTGTAGCATTCTTTATTCATTCTGAATAAAAGTCCCTTATGAGATGTATGTTTTCTCCCATTCTGTTGATTTTCACTTTTTCTTTTTTTAAATATATTGTTATTGGTTTCAGAGAAGAAGGAAGAGGGAGAGATAGAAACATTAATGATGAGAGTCACTGATTGGCTGCCTCCTGCACACCCCTCACTGGGGATCGAGCCCACAACCTGGGCATGTGCCCTTGACTGGAATAGAGCCTGGGACCCTTCAGTCCGCAGTCCGATGCTCTATCCACCAAGTCAAACCGGCTAGGGCTGTTTTTCACTTTCTTAATAGCATCACATGTAGCCCTATCTATTTATTTTTTTCTGTTGTTGCTTGTGTTGTTGGTGTCATATCTAAGAACAAGGTTATAAAGATTTATTCATACATTTTCTTCTAAAAATTTTATAGTTTTGGCTCCTACATTTAATCTATGATCCATTTTGAATTAATTATTTTAAAGAACTACAAGACTGTTTCCAAAGTGGCTGCATCATGTTATTTCCCTACCAGCAACAGCTGAGAGTTCTAACTGCTCTACATCCTCGCCAGCACTTGTTACTCTCTTTTTGATAATAGCATTCCTAATGAGTGTGAAGTGGTCTGTCAATGTGGCTTTGATTTGTATTTCCCTGATGTTCAACATCTATTCATGTACTTGTGGGCCACTGTATATCATTTTTGAAGAAATATTTATTCAAATCCTTTGCCAATTTTAAAATTATTTGTCTTTTTATTACTGAATTGTAAGAGTTCTTTAATATTATGGATACAAGGCCCATATAAGATATATAACTTGGAAATATTTTCTCTCATTATGTGGGTTATTAATGGTATCATTCACAACAAAAGTTTTTAACTTTGATGCATTCTTATTAATTTATTTTTATTTGATTGACTATTTTTGGCATTATATCTAAGAAGTCACTGCCTAACCCCAGGTCAATACGCCTAGATTTTTTTTTTCCTCTAAGAGTTTTATAGTTTTATCTCTTATATTTAGGTCTTATATTTGATTCATTTTGAATTGATTTTTGTGGATGGTATAAAGAAGAGGCCCAACTTCAGTCTTCTGCATGTGGCTATCCATTTGACTTGCACGTTTTTTGAACAGAATATTTTTTTCCCATTCTGGATGGTCCTGCAAACCTAGAAAATCATTTAACATTGTATGTGAGGTTTATTTCTGGGCTCTTCATTCTATGCTATTGGTCTATTTTTCTATGTCTATACTGTACCATTTGTCTTGACTACTATAGCTTTGTATAAGTTCTGATATTAAAAACTGTGCCTCAAATTTGTTCTTTATCAAGATTGTTTGGCTATTGGTCAGCTTTCTTCAGCTGAGATAAATATAAAAGGTGGAAGCATCTGTGAGCTGTGTGCTGAGGGCACTCTCAGAAGCTAGAGGTAAAAATCCTCTATTTCTGAAGAAGGGCCTGGGCGGTATATTATAGTGTCCAGCAAAAGCAGTTACCACTGCAGACTATCCATCAGTGGGATAATATTTTAGAGCAGGAAGAAATACTAAAATAATCTCTCTATGGCTGTCATCAAAGCATTTTCATGGATGCCCAGACTGAGGATGCTGAATGGAAAACAAAAGTATATCCATAGGGTAATGGATAGAAAAAAATTGTGTATAAATGATATGCTAAACTTTTGATACAGCCTCAAGTGAAATGAAAGGTATTTGCAATGCTAACCCCATTCACCTTAATAAAAAAAAATCAGATTCAGAGTTGAAATAAAAGGCCAGTCTTTATCATAGCAGCCCTCACCTCCTAAGACTCTCTCTTTCATGTACCTAGCTCCAGCCACAGTTTCCTTGATTGATGTTCCTTGAATATGCCAGGCAATCTTCTGCCCAATGTCTTGGCACTGGCTGTCTCCTTAGCCTGCACATGTTCCCCTTCAGATATCCATATGGCTCATTCCTTTACCTTCAAATCTTTGCTCAAATTTTACATTCTCAGTGAGGCCTACTCTCACCCCGACTCTGTGGCACTCTGTTTTTCCCCCATGGGACTTATAACCTAACACACTATAGAATTTATCAATTTGAATATGTTTAATGTTTGTCTTTTCCCTTTCAGAGCACCATAAAAACAGAAATTTATACCTGTTTTGATCACTAATTTTCTCTCTCAAGCCTGGAAGAATGCCCAGTATTCAATAAATAGTATTTGTTGAATGAATAACTAAAACGCACTTGGATGTTCAATTAGTAAACATACTGCATTTACGTTATTCTGCGTTCTCATTTCCAAATGAAATGGAAACTTAAGTACTTATTATACATAACGCACTTGACTTCATACTTGCACATGCTAACTATACCTTGGATAATTTAGATTAATTATTAATTATGGCCTGGGTACTGCTTGTAAGACTACGGTATAGAGACTGCTTACCTTCCAAGGAGCTGTACTGGGTAAAGCACTAAGAATTTCTGCCCACTCCTTAATACACTCACCCACAAGTGAATCCAGAAACAATACATAGGAAAAGACGGGGGAAATCACACATGATTCAGTTAAATAAAATTATATGACTCACTGCCTACTAAGCTGGCAAGAGACGAGTCAAGATCGCTCCCAAGAGGTTTGCTTGCTGCCACTACAGGACTAGGAGGTACCATTGAGATGGGTGCAGGCTGCCCAGTTGGTGCCATGGTTGGCATCAGAAGGTCACCTAGACCATCAAACACTGGAAATCAAATAAACCAGGTTCAGAATAATTGAAAAAAATACATCATATGGAAAATTAAAGGGAAAACTGTCTTAAAAAAACAACTATGGAAACAAGTGAATATACAATCTTATAAAAGAAGGCTTGTAATTCACACTTATTATGACCATAACACCAAAAACAACATCTCTACATAAGTCTATTCGTAAAGTATGGAAATACTAATGAACATGAACAAAGATGGAAAACAATCTGTGTAATGTACAGGAAAGAGCACAGACTTTGGAGTCAGAATTGAGCTCAAACTCAGCTACACGCCTCACTAGCTGTATGTCTTTGAGAAAGTTTCTGTCTGAGCTTTAATTTCCTCATCTGTAAGTGGGAAAAGTACCACTACTACTACTACATGGCTTTGTTGTAAAGATTAAATTAGATAATACATGTCATGTCTTCATTATAACATTTGCTGTACATAGGCACTCAATAATTGGTAGCCATGGTTACTCATTAAAAGCTATCACTAAAACATGTTTTATTCAAAATGGTAGTGATTTAGCAAAGCCTAACTGGTTTACTCTAAAGTTCTACAATGCTTACTTTTTTAAAAAAAGTCTTTGTTGAAACTATTACATAAACAACTTAAAACAATTCTTAAATGAGAAAAGAAGGCCAAATCTCTTAGTTCCCTATGAAATCAGTGTCGAAATAAAACATGATATAATGGTCAATACCTATTAAAAAGTATCTGAAAAACAGTTGAACATATTTTGGAAGTAAGAATTTTAATTTTTTTCTCCAGTATAGCACTCACTTTTGGTTCTAACTTTAAGGGACTATTTAAAGTAAACACTATTTCAGTACTAGGAACCATGCCATTATTCATGGTTCCTGATTACCATGTAACTGATTACTACTTGTCTAGTTCCTAGAACACAAGAAGACCATTTAAAATGCAGATTCATGGGATTTGCATAAGTTATTGCTAATATCTATGTCAAAGATTTTGTGGTTGTTAATTTTTATTAAAAAACTATGCATATTTACCATACATACTACTATACAATGATTCTAAATTAAAAAAGAACAGCATTCAACTAGGCACTGGCAATGGAAGCAACCGAATTGTCAGGCAGGGCATATATTTAGGGTGTTTCTGAAACACATTTAATTGCCAAAAACTCACCAATTGAAAATTTGTAGTAAGGACCCAGCATGGGAAGAGTAGAATGGAAGAGAATACAAACAAAATGACAGCAGGATGAAAGGTTAAAGGCAGGCAAAGAATACTATTTGTGTCTCAAGTTCAAAAAACCAAGAACTATGCAAGCTTCAGAGGGTGTGAGCAACAGCAGGGGGAGTGTCCACACATTCAGATACTGTGCAAAGATTTAGTACAGAGTACTTGTTTTCCTTTAACCATCTCTAAACCATGTGCATGTAAGCTCATGCAATAGATGGTGTGCATGTTAAGTTAGATTTCTGCAAAAAAATTAAAAACAGAAACACAGAAAGGAATTAAAAGTTATTCTTAAAACCACCAAAATGTACTATAAATATTCACTTAAGTTACTGAATTTATTTATTGAACAGTTTTTAAAATAAGGTCATCACTCAGTATTGCGTAGACATTTCCTGATTATCATACTAACCTTAGGTGGTTTATTTTATATTCAGAACAAATTAAAAGAATGTTTGAAAACCACTGTCTCACCTGATGGATCAAAGGAGCTGCTGCTAGAAGTTGAAGGCGTTGTTCCAAAAGCTGCCTCAAAATTGGGCTGTAGCAGGTTATTCTGGGCTGGAGTCACTGGTGATGGAGAAGGGGCCATGAAGGAACCCCCAAATCCTAGGAAAAAGCAGTTCCAGAAAAATATAAGCAGAAACAACTAACCATGGGTAAAGGCCATAATTGACCCTAACGAAAAAGTTATAGAAGACAGAAAGGAATTGAATGCATGTAGATGAGAGAAGTCAATGACACCTGGGAAGTTATAGGTTATTATAAGTTTTTCAAGGATGTTGACACCTATCATGTATTAATGAGAGATTTAAGTAAACTGGAAACAAGATAGCACACAAGAATATATACCTTTGTTAAGAGAACCTGCGGCAACCAAATCTACGAATACAGTAGAGCACATAAAGCTAAGAGGGTCTCACCCGAGTTAAAATTCAGATAATTATTTTCATTATATTTAATCTTTGATTCTTCAAATCACAATACCAGGTAGTTAGAAAACACTTAGTTGTACACATTGAACCAGTATGATAATAAAATAAAATCAGAAAAATATGTGTGCATTCTTTCTGCCACCAAATCCTTTTTAATATCTTTCATATGTTCTGGTCCCCTTGCTGCTACTGCCAAGTGAAGGCTCGCCCAACACGGCTCTCAGGTTTCATAAAGTCGTCCAGTGGGGCTTCTCATTTGGACTTCCTTCAGTCCAGTCTCTGTAGTACAGTCTGAGTGATTTTTCTGAGTGGAAAATGTTGATAAAGTTACTTGCCTAAAATCCTTCCCTGGATTCGCATAACTTTCAGAGTCATAGAGTGCAGATTCCTTTGCATAGCAATCAAGCTCTTCTGGCTCTGGTTCCCTCTCCATCTCTGCAAACTAGGTTGCTGCTTATTGTATCATCATAGTGAGTCAGATGCCTGCTCTGGGAGGGATTCCTTGCCTTATACTGTTATCAGTCACAACTACCCCCACCCAACCCACCCCAAGTACATATGTGCTCTACCCAAGCCCCATCATAATTCTTTATTCTCACCCCCAGACCCACCTACCCACCCCAGGAATGATCTTTTGATGTCAGGAACTGTGTCTTCTTTTCTCACCTTTTCTACTCATAGTCAGACAATGCCTGAAATCCTGTATTAATGTTTATGGAGTGAAGGAAACTTCCTATATAATAAAAGGATAATATGCAAATTGACCCTAACAGCAGAACAACTGGGAATGACTGGTCACTATGACACACACTGACCACCAGAGGGCAGACACTCAATGCAGAAGCTGCCCCCTGGTGGTCAGTGTGCTCCCACAGGGGGAGCTCTGCTCAGCCACAAGCCAGGCTGCCAGCTGCTAGCACAGCAGTGGTGGCGGGAGCCTCTCCCGTCTCCTTAGCAGTGCTAAGGATGTCAGACTGCAGCTTAGGCCTGCTCCCCGCTGGCAAGTGGACATCCTCTGAGGGCTTCCAGGCTGCCAGAGGAATATCTGCATGCCAGTTTAGGCCCAATCCCCCGAGGAGTGGGCCTAAGCCAGCAGGTGGACATCCCCCGAGGGGTCCCAGACTGCAAGAGGGCACAGGCTGGGCTGAGGGACCCCTCCGAGTGCATACATTTTTGTGCACTGGGCCTCTAGTCTAATATAAAAGGTGAGGAGAAATCAGACTATTATAAAGTAAGGAAACCTCAAATTACATATTTATCTTTTGACTACTAGAAGCAAATCATTTCTCTCCACCCCCAGACAAAAGCAGAAGCAGAGCTCATCTGTACAAAAATATGCAACTTGTGAAGTGATTTCTTAATAAGAGCTGAGATGATGTTCTATTATCAAAGGATTTATTACTACCAGGAGTTTTTTTTTATATTCAGTTTGGGTATGTATATTCCTTTCTAATCTAGCTGTATCTGCTCTCCTTCAGAAACTGCTTATGAAAAAAAACATCAGGAATGCTCAAAAAATATCCTTAAGCTTGCAATCCATAAAACCAATTTATAAGTTTGAAAATGGCTCCCATTGAAATTCTTTGGTTACTATTTTCTAAAGCAGACAATAATGTTCACGTCATGTTGCTCCTGGAAATTGATATGGCTTTGGGTTTAAGCTTTCCTTGCATATGTATAAAAAAATGTAATTTGGAAAGTTGTTACCTATTAGAAGGTGGTTTTTAAAGTTCACTTTAAGTGATTTTAGTATTTGAGTGACATAAGCATCATGGAACTTTCCTAACTGAAGAAAAGACGTCCTTTATATTTTTAAGAACTAATATCAGTCTGAAGCAAAGATAGGCCAACAGTAATTATTTTTTGTGGATGTGACCAATTTGGTTTTAAGGAGGTAGGCTGTGTTAATGCTAACTTTTTGGAAACATCCCACATCTCAAAGTTGGAATATGGCTGTGCTTATTAGGCAATTATTCTATGAGGTGCTTCTTCTTGTTACAGGTGAGTGTGGAGACAATTGTACTTGATGCTCAGCTTCTTAAAACTTGGCCAAGAAAAGATAACATATCCTAGAATCACATCATATTAGTGTTGGGAAGGGCCTTAGCATCATCTGATTCAATCCTATCTTTCCATGGCTGGAAGAAATGGTGCAAGAGAAGTTAACACACCTACCCAAGATTAAGTAGTAGAAAGAGAAAAATGTATGCTTTGACACGGGGCTCATCTGCTTAGTACTGCTAAACTTCGTAATATAAGTAGATTTTCTCCATAGGTAAATAAATAACACTATTCAACAACAACAAAAAGTAACAGTGCCTTCTCTAAGACATTAAAGGGTAAAACCAATTGGCATGAGGCTCACCAAGTGCCAGGCACTGTTCTATGCATTTATTAGGTTGAACCACATGAATTTCCTATATTGGACCATTTTGGTCCTACAAACAGCAGCGATTTTATGTTGTTCAACCTAAAACATACTTTAGCTAATTTAATCCTAACACCAACCCCATGAAGTTCCACAGATGAGGGAACTGAGGCCAGAGAGGTTAAGTAATTTGCCCAAGGTCAATGATGGCAAATGCAGAGCCAGGATTCCACACAGGAATCTTCCAGATACTTGTTCATTGTCATACTACACAGCCTCTTTCCCACAGTCAGGAGTAATGCCAGACTTGTATCTTCCTATAGGTTTATAAATTTGACAAAGATCTGGGAAGATGACTTTCTCCATTATACTCAGTTGTTATGAAGTAGGTGCCCTCACAAACCTAGCTTAATTAAAAAGGTATAAAGTGACATAAAATAATGAACTGATTATCTTAAAGGAAAATGTACTGCTATACTCTTAATGAAGAGCTAAACAAGAAAATTATAGACATTAGTAAGAAGTTTGGGGAACTCCTTCTGTTAAGTGAAAAGTTTTAGGATCCAGGAATAGAAGCAAATAATAAACTGAAACCACTAATCTTTCTTTCAATATGGTTATAAATTTCATTAAGAAGAAAAGTATTCTATGGAATTGAAAATAAGGTAGTAATCAGTAGGTTTCTGAATGTCTTGCAGGCATATTTGAACTTTCCTACACTATAACTGGATTGCTCAACCATCTTACAAATGTATCTTTCTCAAAGGGAACAGCCTAGGCACTTAATGAAGGTTTATTAATGAAGACATATCAAAACCCATCAAATTATTGAGTCGAGTGAAAATTTAAAACTATTGGTGGTGAAACACACTCTCACACATAGTCTCCTTACCCACATGTGCTCCATTATGTTAAAGATGGTATCATTTCAATTATTCCCAGTGGTACAACCAGTTCTTAACACATTCCATTTATGAAGATCAACATGAGCTAGTCAATATTGCTAGCCTGAGACATTTTAACCTGAGACTAATAATAGCCTGAGACATTTTGTCTGACACTTTCAGACTGTTTTCCAGCCCCACACAAGATGAAAGTATTGGCCCTCTGTAGACCTTCCCATTTAGTGAAAATTGTTAAGTTATTAATTCAACACTGAACATTTTTATATTTTAAATCCATTCAAGGACTTCTATGACTCCGCTAAAAAAGTAATTTGTGTCTTGTGATTAGCAGACAGTGTAAAACTGCAAAGAGCCTCATAAGGCTGGTTCACATCTTCCCCGCCTTTGGAATTAAAGGTAGGATGTGACACATTCCTTTATTAGCACAGACTTATGGTGCAGTCACCTCAGAATTGTGTCTGTTAGGGAAGAATATGGTTTTCCTTCTTGATGTCCACCTCAGAAGTTAGGCATATCCTTCAACACACCTAATCTCCCTTAATAATGCATTTTTATGCCCATCATTCAGGAATCTGTCTGTATCTTTCAAATATCTATATTTTCAGCTGGTATATTTTGAGAGAAGTTTGTCAGCTGTATTCTTCACTGTGTTAAATATTAACCTTTATTTGCAATAAATTTAATTCTCAAGTTTCCAGCCAGACTCTGAGATTTGCATAATATCGGCATCGTACCAGTAATCTCAATGACTTGGAGAGAATACCCTGAAATTCTGCAAAAAGCCAGAACTTTTGATTTTATTCATATCATTTCAATCTTAATTACAACTTCAAAGCAAAAATTTATAATCACTAATCTCATTTTAAAATTGACAAGGTCATTTCCTCTCAAAAGGCATTTAAAATGATGCTGTTTCTGCAGCCTGTTAAAATCTTATTGCTACAGCATAGTTTGTGCTAACTAAAAACATATTCTCCCATTTACAGCCTGTTAAATATCTGGATTAAGGGTACTGGTTTAGCTAGAGCTTAAGGTTTCTGTGACCAATTTGAAGCTGCTATGAAGAGTATCTGGACCAGGAGAAAAGTCAGATAAGCTAGTATTTTTTTCCCCCACCAAGCAACCAGTTGTGGTTTGTGTTAAATGCACAGCCTCCTGTCATATCTGCCCCTTTCCAAGTCCACAGTGGAATCCTGAATCTTCGTCATTTAGAAAAATACCAGCTGGCAGACACTGGTATGAAGTGGATTTGGCAAACAGGAATGTCTTGTTTGCAGGAAAGGATGGCAAAGACATAAAAGAATGCCATTGCCCCTGGGAAAGATTGTTAAATATCCAGTTTGCATTACTGACGGAAGGGAAGGTCAAGAGTGGGGCTGTAATAACCCATGCAGCCTCTTGAGGAAGCATTTGCCGTTATGTCAAATGTCCTACAACTCTGAAGGTTGATGAGGCCATTACTCACTACTCACCCAAGAATGAATGTTCCCTGGTGGATCTGGTGTTAGCATTGCTATTACACTCTAAAACGAGAGCCAGTCACCCTATCAAAGGCTACATGGCTAGCAGAGAATTTAAGCTGAGAGGCTCTGGACATGGTGGCTTCCCTGCGCTTATGGGACCTACATTCTCACCAGTCCCTCACCGACATTATGACCAAAATGCATCCTTTCTGGTGACTGGGGAGGGACAGAGGAGGCTGCATCTAGGTATCTGAGTCCTCTGTGATGCTGCTGCTCTGTTTCCTCTATGCACCCTTCTAAGTTAAGTCAGAGCGAGGTAAAACCGCAGTGTCCTGGGAGTTGATAACCAGAACCCAAAACTCACTTTTGTGGTCTTATAACTGGCAAGTGCTTTGCCTGCAAAAATCATAATTTCCAGGTCTGGCTCTCACTAAGCACACTTCGCCTTGCTTCCAAGAAAGACAACAGTTGGCTTTTACTGTCTTTGAGTCCTTGAAATGTTTCCTTTTATTCTATCTATCCCTTCCTAGCAATGAGCAATAATTCATCTTGTACTAATCTATTCCACACCATAGTCCTGTTGAACTGGGATTACTCCAGGGATTTACAGACCTAAAAAATGATCTGCTTGTTAAAAGGTGGCAGCAGCTTCAACCCAATGGTGGAAATCTAAGAGTTTCTCCTAGTGTGATTCATATATTATAGAATCAATGATCAAACATAAGCATATTTTCAAAATATTTTTTTATTGATTTTAGAAAGGACTGGAGAGAAGGAAAGGGTGAGGGAGAAGGAGAGAGACATTGATTTGTTGTTCCACTTATTTATGCACTCATTGGTTGATTATTTTTATGTGCCCTGACTGGGGATGGAACCCACAAGCTTGGCCTACCTGGATGATGCTCTGACCAACTGAGCTATCCAGCCCGGGCTTAAAACATAAGCATATTAGCTCTAAAGTAAACAAAAAAAATGTGCTAACTAAAAGTAAGGCAGATTAGAAGCATCCATGGAGCCACAGTGGTGGCTTGTATACAAATGTGATTTTAAGACTAATTTCATAAAATTCTGGGCAATAACCTTCAATTATATAATTTCTTGTTTTCCAACTTCACGTCTCAAAGAGAACATACACCTTAAAATTTATATAACAGCTGTTACTTATAAAAATATATCCAAACTTAACTTCTACAAAATACCATTTTATTTTAATTTAATTACCAGCTAGTAGGTCTGCCGATGCTGATGAACTAGAAGCAGCCTGAGGTGCAGGTTGGGGTTCAGAAGCACTAGTTCCAAATGCATCTACCCATTATCCATTATGCAGCAAAAAAGTAAAAGAGTGTAAATGGTAAGTACAGTGAGTAATTTAAGTGTTCTGCAGATAAATGCATACATATGGAGCGCTGTACGGTGAGCTAGTCGCCTATGGATATGTGAAATGACAGAGTGAATTGAATTATGCTCTGATAACTTTATTCTCCCAAAACAAAAGAGTGCTATAATAGTTAAGAATTAACGTCTTTGTAAGAGTAAGATAACTTTTTAAAGGATAAAACTTTCGGACTAAATCCTGTCATTTATCAAAATAAGATCCAAGTGTTAAGAATTTTGTCCAAAGGTAATAAAACTTTCTCATTTATAATTCTATTAAACTTAAATTTTTTACACAATTCAAGCAGCAGCAACAGCCCTCTTATACTCATCTGTCAAGGTTTCGTGTTTATTTGCCACAATTTTTGAGCCTCTGAATGTCAGAAACGGTGACATCTTTGCACCCCTGGTGTACTCGACCCATCACGGCACACAGAGCACTTAGTGTGGGTTTAACTTGCTAACGATAACATTGTAGCCAGTAGATACACACTTGTGGATTTTCATGAAGAAACCACTTCTATCCTGCAATTTTTTTCCTTGTACATTTACTGCTAACAGAAGACTTTACATGAATCACCCAAAGGAGTAATTCAGGAGTTAATTCAGCACATTTTCCTGCCTTTCAATAACATATACAGGAAGAGGAAAATACATTTAAATCAGTGAGATACCTTCCAATTCTTTGGAAGGATTTTAAAACATCAAACTCAACATAAATAAACTCTACAAAATACTGTATGACATCTAGAGCTTATATGTTCCGTTTTGACCGGCTTGTTTGTTTTCAATTCTGAATTTAGTTCATTTTTATATTGCCTTTAAGAACTTAGAAGTGTTGCTTTGGCCAACAGATCAGGATCGCCAGGGAAGAACGGTAGAGAGAAATTCAAATGAGCTGATTCTACATAAGGATGAACGGAAAGTTAAAAACAATCATCTGGAGTTGTTAGGCCATGCACGGAAAATTATGAACTGATGAGGATGAAGATGATGCAAAGAAATGGCAAAGATCTAAAAAACTGGAGTTTACATTCAAGAGATGGAAATGGCTTCACATGGTTAAAAAAAAATGAAAGGGAGGATCTATAAACTATTACGAAGAAAAAAATAAGACTGTTAGGTGTTGAAGGAGGAGAGATACGCACCCCCAAAAAGGTCTATCACACCGGAAGAATCCACTTTTGCAGGAGAGGCAGTGGTTGCAGGAGCCGGTGATGCAAACGTATCCACTGCAGCGAAGCACACGACAGGAAACATCGCCCGTCACCCAAAGGAAAATGAAACCGTGAGCCGTGACAAACGGCTCCTTGAGATTTCACGTTTAACAGCAGGCGGAACAATGCAGACAGTCTTGACAGTTAAGGGAAAGCAAATGGATCTAAAAATACACACTTTCCCGAAGAAAATAAAATTTGACATCTTGAGGTCAGAGGTTTCAGTGTGGAAAAAAAAAAGTTTTGTCTTTTCATTGCGTTAGATTTGAAATATTAACCTTCCTCAGTTGGTGACGGGCCAAAGAACGAGATTTTAAAAAGTGATATTTTTTGATTCAGAGGACCCAAGACAAACTGCACGCTTTCATATTGCCCTCTCCACACGTGACCCCCACAGGACATCTGAAGGCTTGATGTGGGCAAAAGGACTCACCCGATAAGAGGTCAGCGGTGAGAGAGCTCTCAGGCACAGGAGAGGCCCCTTGTGGTGGAGAGGAGAAAGCATCTTCCGAAAAGGGAAACAAACCAAAACCAAGCAGAAGTAAGTAGAAAGCTGAAATCAAAGCCAAACATCTAACAAATGCATTCACACAGGCGAGTACAAAGAGCTTAGTCACCGACACGTTTGGGAAAACTAACGCAAGAGAGGGGTGGGTGGCTTTGGCTTTACCTGTACCGAACAGGTCTATGCTAGGAGCAGCATCCGGCTTGGGCGCTGCAGCGACTTCAGGAGCAGACTCAAATAAATCTAAGACCAAGAACACACATGCCTTTACTCAGCCTGAAACAGCATCACTTTCCGGTTCTGACTTAGTCGTCTGGGGAATTCTGACAAAAGCAGCACATGGTTTCTAGAGAACCATTCCGTTACCAAGTGTGCATGCAGTGATAGCTGTGGATGCAGACTATTGCAAGTACCAGCATTCACTCCACCAGATGTAATGAGTTCAATGACAAGAACAAAAAATTACCACCAAAGATATCTAGAGCAGGAGGAGCGGTGGTGGTGGTGGTGGTGGCGGCGGAGGTGGTGGCGGTGGCGGCGGTGGCGGTGGTAGCAGCGGTAGTAGCAGCAGTGGCCGCTGCAATGGCGGGAGCAGGAGAAGGAGCGGTGGCAGGAACCGGAGGGGCTGTGCTAGCTGTAGGGGTAACTACAGGAACACTGGTCTCAGGTGGCTTCATTGCAAAGAGGTCCAGCTCGGGTGCAGCCTCTGCACTACCTTCGGACGGGGCAAAGGGGTCTTTTGGAAAGGAAAGTGGAGACACATACAGCATCAGTTACGGAAAGAGACGAGAGGCTGGCATCATAACTATGGTAAGAGACACCTGACATGGATATTTACCCACTAGCTAGGCATTCATTAGGCTGCTTGGACTAAACTACTGCCCTATTAGCAGGGGTCAGTGATTAGGATGTTTTTCTAAAGGAAAAAAAAAAGAAAATTTAGCAGTTACCGCAAGTTAAGAAACCGAAACACATCAAGGTACTTGTAAGATTAGCCTACAGTCTAGCATCAGAGATTGTTATTCTTCAAATCCTTACGTAATCCAATAGCTTTGAAAATACATTAAAACATGCCTATATATTTGAACTCTGTGTTACAGAAGAGTCGCAATATAGCATTAGAGAATAAAAAAAACATTAAGAGGGCATACTTGCACTGATAAAAATTGTCAATCTTGAGAAATTGTCAATTTTGATAAGTATGCACTTCATTGTCTTAATGTTTTAAGTGCCGGCGTTATTTAGTCAGCTACGATGAATGACACTTTTTACTCAGAAGAAAGTAAAATTTGAAACACATATGGCCCCATCTAACTACGGCAGTTTTACATTAGGACAGAAAAACAACAGACGGGCTCGTGACTTGAAACCCACCATTTCCTGAACATGCATCAAGTGCCGCGGCTACAGGGGTTGGGGTGGCTGCGGCGGCGGCCCCTTCGGATGCTGCAGGGGCCTCCCCGGGAGAAGCTGCAAAGGCATCTTGGGTGCAGTTTTTAAAACAGCAGAAATTAAAGGAATAAAAAGAGAAGAAATACAGTAAAAGAACCATGTTAAATTGCGAAGAAGGCTCCCTTATACAACATGAATTTCTTAAAACGCATTTTTACGGCCCATGCACTGTTGGTGGTCACAAAACAACTCTTTGCGCCCCTTCATGTTAGTTACATGCAAGTGGTACAGTGTCGATACTGTGAGGCCTATTAGGACCCAAAAGGTAACAGGATTCTCATTGTATAAGGGCTCTGAGAAGCATGTTTTATGTATCACTAGAAATTAATGGATGTGAAAATTAAAACAAAAATAACTTTATTATGTAATTTAAGACATTAAACGTTGATGTCCAGGTGCTACTTATTCACTACATCACTGTGAGGTCTTTAGTGGTTTCTAGCAACATGGATGTCTTCTTTAATGCCAATAAATTGAAATATACAATGGTAATGTAAAAACAGTTCTAGTTTAAAAATTTTTTTTATAGTCTAGTATAGGAGAAATTATACTGTGAATACAAAAGGTTTACAAAGTATTCATAAAAGGTAGGTCATCATAACCCTTGAAAAGCATTTTCAGGTACAACCAAGGACTGGTTTTAAAGAAATAAAGAGATAATAAAATTAGGGGAAGACGCCATAATGCCTTTATTTTTACTTAAATTTATTGTTGTTTTCAAATATTGTATTGCTCTAGTTATTTGGAAAATAATCTATTTCCACTAGATTCAAATATAGTTTCATGTTTTAAGAATATGTGTTCTTCTATTTAGAGTTAGAAAAATCCATTAAAATACAGGCACACCCAGTTTATAAATGCCCAATTTATAAAATGTTGATGGTTCCCAATATGTGTTGCTTCCCCCCCAACCCCCCCAACAGATGATGTTAATTATAGAAAAAAAATATCCTGGGGTTTTTGAAGAGCTTCTATGGTTCCAAAGTACAAAGGAATGAACCATCATAAGTTGCCTAGAAGAAACTGCTGGAAAGTGGGCACCAACACCCACGTAGAACCTGTTACGTACAGGCTAGCCTTCCCATCTTAAAACACTGCCTTCCCCATCTACCAGAATTCCCCAGAACACTGCTTCTGGCCACGAAAAGGGGTTTGTCAGTCACACGTGGGAAACACTGCACAGTATACCCCCTTTCTCAGAGATTTGTGTAGTGTATTAGGCTATAGGAAATCCTACAGTCAAGGCCCTTGTTTCTCTGTTTATCCCAGCACGTCCCAAAATGATCTGACTGCGAAACACATTAGCCATCTCTTGAGGCTCAGCATGAAATTAAGTACTCTAACGAACATTAAATTAGGGACTCACTTGGCTTAAGAGGTCCTTTACAAAAACACAAATGTCCCTAAAAGGGACAACGGGACAATCAGTTATTCACATCTTCTAGATTTATGCGATCTGATTGCTTCACTCAGCTACACGGAGGTCAATGAGGGAGAGGCCAAGTAATAATAATAATGGAATATGAAAACTACATGAGGAGATAGGGCACACCTTCTTCTCCAGGTGCCATGGTAAGGATACTATAATAGAGAACTTAGAGCAACATGAAACCCTAAGATGGGGCAGAAAAGCATAAGAAAAGTCTCAGAGGATGTTGGAAGGGCTGAAAATATTTTGTCATGAGTCAGGTCTATGTTCTTTCTTTTTTTTTCCTATAAAACTTGGAACTCGGGCTAATAAAGTGGGAATAGTAGAAACCATAATAGCAGTCACTATTCAGTGATATTTATGTGCCAGTCACTGTGTAAATATTTCATGTGCATCATTAAATTTAATTCCTATGTATCTTGTGAAATAGGTTCTATGATCTCTACTTTGTAGGTAAGAGAATGGAAGTTTAGAGGCTCAGTGACTGGACCAAGGTCACACAGCCAGCAAATGATGGAGTCAGGATTTGTCCATGAACTCTCTGACTGTGTGTGTGTCTAACCACTATGCAACACTGCTATGAGCTATGCCGCATCCCACTATATACATTTCCTCCTGTAAAATGGAATAAACAGCAGTTCTATCAGTGTGAGGGGCCAAATAAATATCGACTGTGTGACTTGCTGGCCTCTCTAATGATCACTTATGTTAAGTAGGTGAAACCCACATTAATAGCTCTATCCACAGGACAGTAATGTTTTTTTTGGTTGGTTTTCCTGTCAGCAAGACATCTCCTTTTAATGCTTCTCCTATTTGGTAAAACTTAATATTATAAACTTAACTCACTCACTCCCATCAAAACTTCCCTTAAAGACAGGTGCCCAGCCACTCCAGCCCTGGCTGTTCAGTCTTCCCAGCCCAGGAGAGGGCGATACGATGAGGAAGACTGCCCAGCCACTGTCTGACTGAAGCCACAAAGGAACCCTGGGCAAGAACTGTCCAGCTGAGCCCAGTCAGCCCCAGCACTGTGAGAGATAATAACATTTCAACATTGTTTGTTTTCTTAAACTTTTTTTAATGCCTAGCTCTCTTTCATGATCAATGGCAACATTATTCTTCCAGTATCAAAAACTAAAGCGATTTCCAATGCAGTTCGCTCTCCCATGTTACCTATTGGCAGTTTATGTCTAATTCTGCCAAGCCTTACCCAGCATGCTCCTCTCCTCAGCTGTACTAGTCTTTTTACTTCTAGCAATCTAGGAAGCATTTTCTCTCAAGCTTCTTGTAACTACCTTCCTAAATATGTCTAACAGCTGTCGTTTTCCCCATCCTGAACGACTCTCCCCATTTCTCTCGCCACATAAGCCATCTTCAAATCACAGGATCCTTCTCAACAGCCCTAGAGTCACCATTCCAGTTCCTCTCAGCTCCTAAGGCCAGCTTGTTATAAAACACGCACCAAATCAAGGCAGCCTGTGTGGTAAGTGCCTGGGGTTTCAAGCCACTGGTTTTGTGCTCACAGGCTCCCAAGCCTCATGAAGGCTTGTTCATAACTGGATACAGGTGATTGACAGGGCACCCTGGTGCTTGTGCAGCGGAATTAGCATCACTATGGCATTCTAGTGCTTAGGAAAACCATGTTAGGACAAACTAATGTGGTGTTAGTGAGGTCTTCATAAATAAAAAGTAGAATGCTTTTAAGAATGTTATCTTTTAGTTTTATCAATAGCTTTTAAGTTTTACTGAAATCTTTAAACAGAGCCTTCCAGTGCTATTATGCATGACCACAGAAAGATTTTTATTTAAGTTTATTTTTTTTAAAAAAAGTAAAACATTTAGTAAAACTGTTTCTGAGAAACTTGTTTAATAACTTCTACTGAGATGACTAAAATATTATGTGGGTATAATCTGAATGTTTAAAAATAATAGACATTTCCTACTTTTCAAATGAAATAAAATACATAGAAAATTTAATGCTTTAATATTTCTTATCCAAGAAATTAAACAATTGGCTATTTTTTCAGAAGTTAAAATTCTTTAAGCTTATTTCTAAAGAAATCTACTTAATACTGCTATGCATGCTACATAAAATCTCAAAATGGCATGTTTTAAAGTTTTGTAGACCAAATAACTGGTGTCTAATATTCAAAAGTTCTACCACTTGCCCATTTTAGAGACACATGATTTTTTAAAAAATGGCCAGATATTGTGGCCAGAGACTCTCATTTAAGTTTTTATTTAAAATCCCATCTCTAAATGATTCCTTATGAATCAATGAATAATATGAAATAAATTAAGGAATATCACTGAAAACTGCAAAAGAGCGACACACATAGACTCCTGACACATAAAGCATAGAGATTTGATAGCTGTGAGAGGCCAGTTTTATTAACTATACAGGTCAGTAAAAATAACTGATGAGATTTGCAGATGTACGCACCTGTACTCAACCTCTAGCCAGGTGACTAGAAAGAATAAAGGTGAAAACAAGGGAGAGCCCCATTCTTTGGCATTAATTTATATGATTTTCTGTATTACTAGTCATTGACTTATTTATTTGTTCTAGTCCTTTAAATTTGTATTTTAGGGTAGAAATAATGGCATTATAAAAGTATTTTCAAACATACATATTTCTCTGCCTGACAAATGTAGTTAAAGCAGAAGAAATGACCAACACAAACAGCATAATGACACAAAGATTATTTCAAAGAAATATCTTTAGCTCTATTATTCTAGAGAGCCATGAGAGAAGCAAGATGGAATTGATTTCTTAGAGACAATTAGCTCCTTACACATAGCCTGAAAAACAAAAATCTAAATTGCTAAATGCTTAAGCACAAAATTGTTATCCATCCCGTCCCTATTCTCATTGAAGTTTTTCTGTTAACATGAGCCTATGAGAAACTGCCATACCCAACATCAATAATAGGGGCAGGGAAAAGGAGGGCGTGAATAAGTTTATTTTGTATGTGTAAGCTAACACAAATTTTTGGTCTCCAAATTTATACAGGCATAACTGAAAAACGTTCTCTAGTGGATGATGCTTTATAATACACTCTTCAAGAGTCTGCAAACCCCTCCCTCCTCCTTTTTAAGAACAAGTTTCTCCTGTAGGAATGGGAGTGCAAATTCCTTTCCTGAAATAGTGACAATGATGCTGTCTCCTGGAGTGCTCCTTGTCTTAGACAATGTTGGCAAACCTCAGAGACTGGGGTCCGGCATGTAGAACAATGGTATGTGACAGCGTGTCAGAGTAAGTGCCCAGGGGAGGATCTGAATACACCGGAGCCTGCCAAAAAGTCTCCTGCCCTCCCCATCATTTGCTTCCTCCAATGTCTTTACCATATTCTCAAAATGCCCTGGGAAAGATGTTATATTATAATGAAGAAACACAAAACTATGATGAATATAATGCTACTCGACTTGTACAATTGATAGGTACACCTTTCGAGGCCTGGACATGAGCACTACGCAGATGGGAATACGTAAACAAACTGGCTGCAGATGGCTCACCAGGTCCAGGCAGATGATCCTGGCAGAGTCTAGGATATATGACCCACGCCCATAGCTCTAAATCAACTCTGTGTCAGAGTTTACATTTGCATATTTTCAATCCTTTCAAAGTCTCACCTAAACCTGTTTTTAATCTATGTCAAGAGCTCATTCAAATGATCTCTCAAAGTCCCAGAGCCAAAGATGGTCCAAGTTTTTGCTTAGATAGAATACGCTTAAAGTTGCAAAACTGGGCATATCCCCAAACTCTCTTCAGAGTTCTCCCAATCTAAACTCTCTTAGATGATTTTTTTGGTCCTAAATCTTAAGAAATAACTTAGGCCAGGATTTCCGCCCCAATATTCCCCCAATTTTTTTCCCTCCCTGCTAGTGTGAATCTGGCCTAAAAGACAAAAATTAAAAGTATTAGGTCTGGTACCACTTTTGCATAGATACTGCAGGGCGGAAACACATATGGGTCAAGAGTTCTAGTGGTAATTTCCACTTTGAGAAACAGAAAGTCAACCTCTGCTCTAAAATCAATGAAATTAAATGAAGATAAAGTTGGTAAATTCAGCTAAGATAAACAGACATGAAAAAACATTTAAAAAATATTTAAGCATTCTGACATGCTGTTGAATAATGTACGGACTTTTACATCTCGGCAATCCTGGAAAGAAAATGAAGGAACAGTGATGTGACTAACTAACCTCCGAAGAGATCCACTTCAGCAGTGACAGCAGTAACAGTTGTAGTAGTTGAGGCAGAAGCTGAAGCAGTTGCAATTTCAGCAGCTGTAGTAGGAGGGGTGGGTTCTGATGCAAAGGGATCTGAAATCTGTGCTTCAGAGGGAGCAGAGGAAAGTGTAGCCAGAGAGTCTACGTTGCACCAGAGATGGAGAACAGATGGAAGAGAAGAAAAGGAGAGGACGAAAAATACACCAGGTTCCAAAAGATCAAAATGAAGGCAGTTAGTAAGATCCAGAAGTCTCTCAAAACAGAAGTTTAAAATAAGCTTTACTCACCCTCTCCCAAAAGGTCTATCGATGTCCGTTATGTGTCAGCATATGAAGAAATAAGAGATAAAGCTGAAATATTCAACCACACCAGTGTCCAAGCAGGGTGAGGCACTAACTGAAGAAATTCTAGCTTTCTGGACCATTTGTAATAAAAAACACAAATGTACAGTCAGCCCTCTGTATCTGTGCATTCTACATCCTTGGTTCAACCAACCGTGAATCCAAAATATTTTGGGGAAAAATGTTACATTGTGCTGATGTGTACTATGTAGTTTCACCTACGATCTTTACATCTCTACTGAACATGTACAGACTTTTTTCTTGTTGTTATTCCCTAAACAATATAGTAAACAACTATTTACATAGCATTTACATTACATTAGGGGTTATTACTAATCTAGAGGTGGCTTAAAGAGGATGTGTGTTATATGCAAATACTCGCCAATTTATATAAAGGTCTTGAGCATCTGCAGATTTGGTATCCGAGGGGGTCCTGTAACCAAAGCCTTGTGGATACTGAGAGATGACTCTATTACCTGTTATCATTATAGAACTTTTGAGCTGGAGGGGTACTTTAGTGAATTTCTAGATCAAGTTTCCAACTTCATAGACGGAAAAACTGAGAGCAAGGGAGGTCAAGACACTTACCTAAGTCAGGTCTAAACAATTTTGTAAAACTCAATTTATTTTTTACCAGATTTACCATTTCATCTACTTTGATTGATTTCCATATACTATAAATGTCCATTCTGATGAAATTATAGCTAACTGAACTTTACTGATCTTCTTTATTTGATCGTAGGTGAAACTACTATAGTCTGGAATACCAGAGAATAAGTTGGAGCTTTATAAAAGCTGTAGTTTGATTGTAGAATGTATAAAACAGTCAAATAAATAAATGCAAGTGTAGGGTTTAGAAAAAGAAATGCCAACCTAAACCTTTTTCTTCTTCATAGGTTTTATATTATCAGATATTTTTCAATTCAATATAATCTTTATATGTATAAACCTTAGGTTAAAATACAGCATTTCATTGGGAGGTTTATACTTTCTGTGTTCAACAGTGGGATTATAGCTGGCATCCTGAATAAGAAATCTAAAAGGAGTTATTCTTTACTATACTATGACTCCATGTCAAACATTTGAATTGTTCAATGGTATTTTTCTCTTCTCAGTCACATGAAACACTTCATATTTAAATTCATGAATGTTCCTGTAAATTTACTTTAATGATAAAATTTTTTTATCAGAATTCATTAAAAAGGTTTTTCCCCCAGAACTTTAAAAACAATATAAGAACCTGTAACCCCAAAGTTCTAGAGGATATTTAAAAAAAAACACTGAAAAACATAAATTTGACATTAAAATAATCACATTCATTTAACGATGCATTTTGCAAACCCAATGAATATTATGTAAAGCACTCTACAGATACACTGAGATAATCAGACTCTTCCTAACCAAATCCCATATATTTCATAACAATTTTAGAAAATTATAGCACGTGGAGTTGACATTAGAAACCCTCTTAAAATTTTAGAATGTATACTTACTAAATAGCATGCAAAAAGGACCTACACTGAGTGGCCAGATTAGTATGACTGGCCAGATTAGTATGACCACCCCATCAGTACAATGAAGTGAATTAGTTATACAAATAATTAATAATAAAACCTTGAGAGTATTTGCTTAGGAAAATATTCAGTATTTTTGGAAGTGTCAATGAAGTACTGATGGGGTGGTCATAATAATCTCGCCACTCAGTGTATGTTGGATTGGGGCTAGAGTATATTCTGCTGTTAGGTGGCCAGGTCCACATCCCAAGAAACAGAAGTTTCTTCTAATAATTTCTTATACCAACAGTACCTGGCCCAATACAAGTGTTACTCCACAGTCACACTTCCTAAAAATGTTTTAGGATGACCAAAGTGGGTCATCAGAAGCCAGACAGACTTGGCTTCTCTCTTTTCCTGGCATTGGTGGGACTCTCCCTCGCCCTGCCCTTATCAACATGGATATTTCAAGCTTCAATGAGACTTAGCAGAAGAATGAAGAGCCACATGACAGCACAGTTTCCAGACCTATGACGGGTTTGAGCAACTGATTTCATACATTTGTTAAGAAGGAGAAGACTTATTCAGCTGGAGGAAGATGATGAAACTTCCAGCACTGATAAAATGGAAGATGAAAAGTAAAATTTTCTAAGAAAATGTATGAGGTAATTAAGCATATTGTTGAATAGTTGGTAATGAAATTTTTTTCCATTCCTGGAAACCACAGGCTTTAGTTTCCAAACTCTTTTAATTTTTTAGATAAAATAAAATTTATGCTACTTATATCTTGCTTTATGCAAAATTGTCTCTCCTATAAAAGGAAGTCTCTATTTTAGGATGATAGGAACAGTTTTAAAGATTCTCAAAACTACTACTAGATGTAAAAAATTTATCTATCCAAATAAGCTACAATAGCAGAGTTGTTCCACTAGCAAATAGTATATAATCAGAGGTTTTTTAAAATAATAGAAATCGCTAGAAAATATTCACTGTAACTAAGGAAACAGACCTACAACTAAATTAACAAGGAAATCTATATTCTGCAGTGAGCTGTAGCTAAACTTTTAGGTTATAATAAAGATTAAATGTGGTCATATATTTAAGTGCTTACCCATATCTGTTACAAAAAATGCTTGACAATGATAGCTATAGCTAACATTTAGGTTAAATTATAATTTTCATTAATGACTTGTGAATGTCAAAGCTTATATTCTTTCTGTGTGTGTACATCTGTCTAAATGTATGTATATGAAAATAGCCTAAAGATATGCTCCCCAGATTTAATTAACAAGAAAATGGTAATATGGGTCATAAAAACTGCTTCTACCATAGCTAATATTCCATATGGAAATCATTAAAGTCATATGATCACATAATACTGATAAGCTTTCAAATACATGTTGATAATTTTTATTAGGTCCATTAATTCAAATTCAAACCTTAGCAGTAATTCCATGTTTCTCAAAAAGCAGAAATCTACTTCAAGCATTTATAATCTATACTAATAAAAGGGTAATATGCTAATTAGGGTGGTGTCTTCCAGAAGTCCATCCTGACAAAGCTACAATGGCTGCGAGGCCCGGGGCTCAGGCAGCCATCAGTAGGACATCCCCTGAGGGCTCCCAGAGTGTGAGAGGGTGTAGGCCGGGCTGAGGGACCCCCCTCCAGTGCATGAATTTTCATGTACTGGGCCTCTAGTAAGAAATAATCTGTTTCCCCACTTCTAAGATACACAGAAATATAACATACATATCCCACTTATTTGTGCTGAGAGATGAATTTATTACAAGAAAAAAACACTCTCCCTATTATGGAGCCAAAAGTAGTTTTAAAAATGCTCTGCATTCTTTCCAGTGAAATATGTTCATTATTAGCCCACAGGATGCCAAATCTTATAAGCATTATTTAAATTAAATTTACCAAAATACGAATTTGCTAAAATTTGGTTGCTTTACACCAACAGGAAAAAAAATAATATCCCCTAAAATGGCAATACAGTGGGCCCTTGACTTATGAGTTTAATTCGTTCCGAGACCGAGCTCATTAAGGAGCTCGTTAACTCAAATTACTCTATCAACTCAATGCAAAAAATCGGCCGAGAGACAGCTGGTATCTCAAAAAACTCGTTAGTCGGGACACTCGTAAGTCAAGGCCCCATTATACTTATAAACACCTGAAGTAGTGATGGTCGTTGAATATCCAAACAGGTCTAAATAGTTTTTTAAAGTTTGTATTTTACTGTCTAGTTAAACAAAATTAAAATGTGCTTCAATAGTAGAATCAGCCTAATCTTATCAAACAAGACTGAGAAAGTGATTTTTTTTTTTAGTCACATAAGCCAAAATGTATGTTACAGTATAGCATCATCTTCAACCATCACTGGGTATCTATAGAAAGAATGCAAACTGAAGGTGGGTGACTATGATTTCTCAACTTCATATTACACTACTTCAATTTCTTAAGGCTTATAATTTTTATTATTTTGCTTAGGAAATTTATTTATTAGCATTTTTCTCCCCAGCTGACTTTTCCACTGAAGCTGTAGGTATTTTGTTGAGACAGAAGACTTATGCTGTCTAACCATCAAAAAGTGACCAGCAGGCCCTAAGTCAAGGCTTCCGCTCGCCTAGAAAGTGCTCTGCACTACTTATTGAAAAGTGCTCCCTCGGGGCCAGCAGCTTAGAAAAAACAGCTTTCTCTCAAGGGTGAGCAAAGCTCACAGCTTCGCTGGCAGAAAGCAGGCAAGATATCCGCCCCACTCCGGAGTCTGACACAACCCGCATGTCCAGGGCAGACAGCCCAGGTTGAAACCACGTGACTAGACCTACTGATGCCTCAGTGTTTGTCACCAAGAGTTATTACTTCTAACAAGTAAAGACTGAAATGTGTTATAATAAAATTGGTTATTATAAATTATTCTCCACAATATTATGGGTCTTAGCAAAAACTCCTTGGAGATGAATATGAATTAAAATGTCATATTGAAATGGAAAAAGATTTCACCTACGTTTTTCTTGTGTGTGTGTGTGTGTGTGTGTGTGTGTGTGTGTTTTATTTTATTTTTTTTAACTTTGGCACCCAAATAATTTTTTAGCGTGTCAATGTAAGAAATGTCCACACTTGTAAAGAATTTTATTAGAGCTTGTTTGAGTTTATTTGAGCTACCTGATACATGCCAAGAAGTAAGATCTCAAATGCTCCCAAGCCTGGTAGCTTTGTAGTTCTCTTTATACATTTGGAATTAAGAAGGGGACATAAGGAAGATACGTGAAGGCAGGGAAATCGAAAATGATTGCATTATACGATAGTTAATAAGATTATGTGCTCCCTTGAGAATGGTTATGCCTCTAAAAAAGAGGATTAATCTGGCATTTCAAAGGTGTGGTAAACTACATGCGCAAGAACAATGGAAAGGGCTGACCTAAAGCAAAGGTACACCTTTCACTAAAGAAGACATAGGCCTGGAGCATGGCTACTCTCCATGAACCCCCAGTTAGGAGTTTACGAATCACCTATGCTGTTATTTTGGGTCACTGATTTATTACAGAGCCTCTCCCTCTCTGGTGTGCCAGGTTCCTGGCTCTCCTGTTGCAGGAGGTGCACTACCCTGTGCCCACACAGTGGACGAATGGACTTGAATTAGCCTGAATGCTGAACTGGACCTGGCTGCAACATGGAACAGAAGATCTTGCCATTGGCCCTCCTTTTGGCTCTACTGGACCCCCAGCTGCTCCTCTTTCAGGACTGGGTTAAGGGGCATGGGGCTTTGCAACCTGAGAAATGTAACTCCATGTAAATAAAGCCTTTTACCATATCTTGTTGTCTTGTGCAAATCTTAGAAAATTCATTTTCTAAAGATGTTGCAAGAATTCCGCTCCTGCGAGAAATTGAGAAGTTTGATTCTCCAGTGACAAAGCTATCCCAGATTTTAGCTGCATTTAAGTCAAATACAATGTGAATAAAATCAATTCCCGTCAGGAATCCATGAAGGAAGGCTCTTCCTGAGAAAACCAAATTAGAAATGCTGTCTTTGCATAATCTCATAAATTTTCAGGAATACCCAGACTTCTATAGCCTGAATCTCTAGAAAACAATACTAAATATAATTAGAATTTTAGAACAGCAAAGGAAAGTACTGCCTTTGTTCTAACTTTTAAAATAAAAACTATATGACTATTTGAACATTTTAACTGTATTGTGGGTACTTTTCCTGTCTCCATCTCTCTCAACATATATTTCTATCAATAGATGCCATTCTGAACATTTTCTCTCCAAGTTTCTAGCACCATTTGCACCCTCAGAAGGTAAGCATAACAGTTATAGTCTGAGTAAAAGCAACTAAATAGAGAGATGGCATGACTGTCTGGTTTCACTCACCTCCCCATGCAGTGGCTCCTCCAGAAGGTGGTGCTGGTGCTGGTGCCGCGGCTGCTGCCGCCCCGCCAGAGGTGAAGTCTGGCTGGAGGTCCAGGAGATCGCTCGACGGTTTAGAAGTGCTGAATGGAAAATATAATTTGAAATTGTATAATATAAAGGTGTTTTAATAAAGTCAGACTTTGAAATTTCATAATGTAAAGATATTTATACTGTAAAGGTATCTTCTAAAAACATCATAGATTTTGTATATTTTAAATCAAATAAAAGAATAATATTTTGGAAAGTACAGCGTATGTTCTTCTACACCAAGGGTTGGCAAATGAGATTTGTAAAGGGCTAGATGCTAGTATTTCAAGCTTGTGGGCTAGATGATCTCTATCGCTGCTTGACTCTGCCACTGTAAAAGTGAAATAAGACATAGATGACACATGAACAAGTAAGTGTGCCTTTGTTCCAGTAAAACTTTATTTACAAAAAACAGTCAGCGGGATAGATTTGACTTTTGGGGCCACAGTTTGCCAACTCTTGCTCTATAGACAACAACAAAGTTAAATCATATTTCAAGCTATGAGTCACTTACCAGATCACAGAGCAGAAATTAAAAGGGAAAACATAAATGCCTCAAAGTAAGGTGGAATTTTCTTAATCATGTTATGAAATGCTAGTTATAAGGACTGTGACAAAAGGAAACATCATCCAAATATTAAAGGTATTAGGGTAAGAGGATTATGGGTACTTTCTTTTTCTTTTCTCTATTTTCAAATTTTTTTAATGAAGAAAATTCTTGTCTTGAGAAGAATACTTTATTTATAAACCAAAGATAGTAAAATGAATAATTACTAACGTACCTTGTTTTCTAAATAAAACCACAATGTATCAGTTTTGGCTATAAAGAGGACTCACGTGAAAATACTTATATTTTTTTTAATTTTCATTCATTGAGGCTGTGATTTTCAAAGCTCCTCCATTTGTAGAAGTTCTAAGAAGGAATCTAGAGCTTTGCTATTCAAAGTATAGACACTGAACTAGATCCTTGTTAAAAATGCAACATCTCAGGCTTACCCCATTATCTCCTACATGAGAAACTTTATTTTAACATGCCCCTGAGTGTTTCACAAGTGACTCATAGTTTGAAATATGACTTAACTTTGTTGTTGTCTATAGAGCAAGAGTTGGGAAACTATGGCCCCAAAAGTCAAATCTATCCTGCTGACTGTTTTTTGTAAATAAAGTTTTACTGGAACAAAGGCACAAAGCACTGGCCTAGCCCTAACTGGTCTGGCTCAGTGATTCCAGTCAAGGGCATGTACCCCGGTTGTGGGCATATCCCCAGTAGGAGGTGTGCAGGAGGCAGCTGATCGATGTTTCTAACTCTCTTTCACTCTCCCTTCCTCTCTGTAAAAAATCAATGAAATATATTTTAAAAAAAAGAGCCTGAAGGTCACTAGACCAGGTACCAAGCCATCAGTGTCCCAGGCTCCCCATCCCCTCTTCATAAACAGCAATTACATCTTTATCTTTTTTACAGATTAGAATTCCAAGAAGAATGGATTCTGCTACTTAAAAAAGTATCTAAACCATTGAAATTTGCCTAGTTTTGATGTCCATTTAATAAATAAAACAGGCCTAACTGCCAGAATAAGGAAAGTATATTTATTAATACTCATAGCAGAGCTTTTATAAGAAGTAACTTATCTTAGTATAGAGGCAGAAAGGTCTTGGTTTTACCAAGTTGGAGATTATAAAAAGCCAAACTAAGCAATGGAGGATAACATACATTGTTAAAGTGGGTGCATTACTTGGATTTATTGCTTAGTTCAAAATTTAAGTCTCTAAATATAGGGCATTCACAATCAGAGTCACAGATAGTACAAAGTGAGACCAGAATCCTCCTAAGGCAAAACAGCCAAACAAAGAGTTAACCTAAAGTTATTGTTTGAGGAAGCCCCTGTGAGTTGGGGCTTCACTGTAGGCAGCCCTGAGATTTCACAGAATGTACAGTCATTTCTATTTTTCTCGCCACTGTTCTGACATGTACGTGCTACTAAAGCTGATTAGAAACACCCCAGTGGTCCCTGCCTAACACCAGAGTTTGAGTCCCTCAGCTACACCAGCTAATTGATCTACAACTGCAAGCTTTTAAAAAAGGCATTTTAGGACACCATTTATATTTCCCACAAGAATATACACTTTTTAGAAAACATTTTCTGTGTCAGCCAATTCCAGAAGAACTTGCAATGTGTGCATGGTTTTTCTACTTCCTTTCCCAAATGTGGGGGCAGCAAGGTGCTTTCCACAGCTCAGGTCCTTCTTATGCTTTTAGAAGTACAGACCTCAGTAATTGTATCAGGTATAAAATAACTTACCTTGTGTACCTAAAAATAACCCCAGTAATACATGTTAGGATTAGCTTTCATTTTCTGAAATCATTTGGGTTCAGTACATAAAAAAACAACAACTCATCAAAATACTAATAAACATTCACTTGAATACTCATGAACTCACCTGACAGGGACAGCCGCGGATGGAGTTGCAAATAAATCAACCGGTGGGGATGTGTCAATAGTTTTAGCTGGTGTAGAATTAGGAGATGTAACAGTTGTGGCTGGAGAAGACTGAAAGTGAAGACGCACAACACACTCTAGTCAAATCCGAATCTACAGGACACAGAGCAACAGCACTTCCACTTTGCAGACCCATGAACTACAGATCTATAGGAGGAAATACTCCTGTCACTGATAACACTAATCCTGTCCTTAAACATGCTATAAAAGAGATGGGGAGGTAAGGGAATAATTAAATTTATTCAAGTAGACTATCTAAAAAACATCCTTGTGGCCCTGGCTGGTGTTTCTCAGTGGTTAGGGTGTCGGCCCACACACCAAAAGGTTGCAGGTTCAATCCCCTAGTCTGGGCACGTGCAGGAGGCAACTAATCAATGTCTCTCACATCAGTGTTTCTCTGTTTCTTTTTCTCTCCCTCTCCCTTCCTCCCTCTCTCCCACTCTCTCTAAAAATCAATGGAAAAAACATCCTCGGGTAAGGATTAACAACACGTCTCCAACGGAATTTAAATAAAACACACCCAGAATCAGAGATGCGCTTTCAAACCGTGCCCTGCCACCCAGCGCAGTGCCTGCGAAAGAATTTAAAGCAGGGACTCGAACGGGTATTTATGCACTCATGATCATAGCAGCATTATTTAAAATAGCCAAAAGGTGGAAGCAACAGTGTTCATCGATAGAAGAATAAATGAACAAAATGTGGTATATTCATACAATGAAATAGTATACAGTCTTGAAAAGGAAGGAAATTCTGACATGCTACAACATGGATTAACCTTGAAGATATTATGCTAAGAAAAATAAGCCAGTCACAAAATGATAGTTACTGGATGATTCTACTTATATGAGGTACCTGGAGTACTCAAAATCAAAGTAAAATAGTGGCTACCAGGAACTTGGAATAGGGGAAGTGGAGAGTAAATGTTTCAAGGGTACAGAGTTCCTATTTTAGAAGACAAAAAAGTTATGAAATGGATGATAGCAATGTTGCTAAATAATGTGAATGTAATCCACTAAACTGCACCTTGAAAGTGGTTAAAACTGTTAAAACAAAACACAACAAAAAATAAACTTACCTTACTTAATGGAGAGGGAGCACCAGATCTAAAAGGCAACCAAAAAATTAAAACTGAATATACATGTAGAAGCATTTAAATTTGATACTATCACTTGGTCAAACACTAACTTGTTTATATACAATTTTTTTTTTTTTAGTAATGGACACACTATTTAATACTTTCTTTTACTCAGTTATGACATCCTCTTCTAACATTTCCCACCCACTAAATTTCTAGTATTAGAAATTCTTAAATTAAAATTTTCCCCCTATAGCTCTAGCAATTCAGTTCTTCAAGTTGATCATTATTGCCCATGTCCATCAAAAATAAGCTGTCTGAATTGGAATTTAAATTTTTTTTCTAAGACTTATGAAAAATATGTTTTATAGAATTAAAAAAGCTTCTGATTTATTATTTCAAAAGTTAGAAAACTCATTAAGATTAAAGTATACTGTGATTAATCATAATTGTGATGCATAAAAGGAACACTAAAATAAAATAAAAATCTCTATGAGCACTGTGCCTGAAATATGTCCCAACTTCCTTAAGTTTTTTTTATGGCTATCATGAAATCTATAAAAAATATTCCTATTGTCCTATTAGAACTAGAGGAAGCTTGAAAATGAACAGTGCTTATTTCTAAGGCAGTGACGAAAAATTAGGAAGAAGTAATTTTTCTGTTAGATTACGAATAGCAGTGACTACTGCACATCACTTCTACAAAGTGCTTCAGAAACAGCTGCTTAAACAGCTTACATTTCACCAACCTGAGTTGGTGGAAAATAACAATGAAACAAAAGGAACAAATACACATTGCAATAAGAAGCCTTTTGTCAGGGTCTCATAGGATGTCAGGGATGTCTTCCTACTTATCTACAGAGAAAATATCACATATAGCAGTAGCAGAAAAAAATTAGTAGAGAGTTAGTAACTGAATTTTATACACTATCATGAATTTTTGTCATTGGATGTAGCAAAAGAAATCTAGTAATAGTATATGCCTGATTAATACCTTTTATGTTCAACTTCCTTTGCAAATATATGCCTGCCATTTTCTATTTAAATTTAGTTTTTACTGAAAATTAATATAATGTAAAGAAAGGACACATATAAATTTCTACTATATTATAAAGGTAGAAGTATAAAGATAACATTTAATTTGGTTATGTGTAGTTTGGCTAAATATAATCTTAAGAATGACATATCCTATAAAGAACATGAAATGCATTTATCTATATTGCTTATTTCAAAGGGCCTACTAAAACAAGTGAATCACAGTGCTCTCTGTATCTATAAAAAGCTACTTAGGCACCAAAAATCTTGTATAGCAAGAGTTCAAAAATTCCCTAATGGAAAAGGAAAAGGAAAGGAACTAAATCTAAATAAAAATCCAAGAAAATAACAGCCTGAATGTGGCATTTGACATGGTCACTTTCTCAGAATGAATTAATTGAAATTAAATGACCTCTCAAGCAATTTCATGAAGCAATGCGCAGTGGTACTGACACATGAGAAATGCCATTACAGAAAAGAGAACTGAGGATATGCAAGCGCTTTTTGAAATATGTTTCCAAGCTAATACATAAACATTTCTAACACATTCTATGCTCCATAGCAATAAGAAAGGTATAATAAAAATGACAGAATTGCTCTGCCATTAAAGAATATCATGCTCAAATATAAGCATAAAACATGATAATTGGCACAAGAATTATGTTGCCAATAATGCTACACAAATGCTATTACTAAATGACACGTGACATTACCCCATGGATTAGACAAACAAATGCAAATTTCCTACTGTCCCTGGGGAGCTATCATGCCACCTACTGCACTGTGTCTTAACTGTGTAAGTGTCTGTATTCTCCATTAGATGCTAAGTTCTTAGCAGTGAGGGGGCTCATCTCAATGATTTATATCCCTGGCACTTTATATAGCAGCTTGCATTGTTAAGTCAGTGAAATATATTATTGTATTATCTAGACTTTTGAATGAGAATACATTTATGTACTCTTTGTATAAAAATGTAAGTTAACCAAAAGTCTTAAAAATTATTTTGTGTGAAACTAAATTGTCAGGATGTGTGACCTCTGTTCTCATGGACCAGTCCCAGCCTTTGACGAGATTTCATCAGAAAGGCGAGAACCAGAGGTGCCCCCAGTGGGACATGACCTTAAAAAGGATCATTAATCACTGGTTAAAATCTGAGGGTTCTGAGGTTCAGAGGGGTAGGTAACTTGCCAAGTCTCTCCGTGCTTTAGTGGTGGATTTAGGACTCCAGTCCATGTCTGTCTGATGCCCAGAGCCTGTGCTCATTTCACATGCCAGCGGGTCCTGACCGAAACACACATAGCCCAGCACATTTGTTCCCCCCATACAGAATACATTGACTGCTTCCTTTACTTGTTCCTTTGTTGATTTTCTATCTTGCCATTGGTCATTTCTCCTTTATAAAAAAAAGGCTATAATGTTTTATATATAAATAATGACATTTATTACAGACCTATACTTATTTTAGCTAGAGAAACTTAGCACTTAGTGTACTGGTTTAGGGAAAATAAAACACGAATATAACTTTAGAAGAGAATAAGTGACTATAAAGTAATCTACCCTAAATTTTGTAAAATTCTACAAACTAATATGTGAGTTTTTCTGATGCACATAGTAAATGCCAAGGTTTACTGCCACAATGTTAATAGAAAGGTATCAAAAGAGAACATTTTTTTATTTCTTAGTCACAACAATAACCCTTACATAGTTCTGGTGATAAGTGCTAGTTATAAAAATAAACAACAAAAATAAAATACAGATGTGAAAAATCTGCCTTCCAAATAATTTTATTTAAAATAGGTTTATGTTGCGTTTCCTGCACCCTCAACAATTAGAAACCCACATATAAAATAAAATAAAATAAAATTCTCTCTTTGGTCTATGGAATCATAGAAACAAACAATATAAAAAGGTGCATCATACAGTATTGTATAAAAGTTCCAAAATAAATATCAGTTTCTTTAGGCACTGAATATAAAGGGCATACATATTTTTATAGAAGACATTTAAAAATGCTTTGTTTTATGCATTTACCTAACCTGGAGACAGCTTTAATAATTAATTTTCTTCATAAAATTGTCTTTTGTTATATGACATGGGAAAATCTTCTGATTACTAAATAAATGAAAAAAGTTTGATTACTAAAATCTAAAAGAAATATATATATTTGTGTATATACACACATATATACGAGTATCTAAGAGATAGTCTTGATCCAAGAAGACCAAACTAAAGTAAAACCATTTATGCCAGTCAATTTGTGAAACCAAAAAGTATAATGAAAAACACAGATGTGTAAAATGGACAGACATCAGTTTTAAATGTTCTAAATACCAAATGTGGACTCTTAAGAGTGTTTTTTTTTGCATTTTTAGTAATAACCAAATGCAAAAAAAGTCACTCGAAATATTACTCACCCTTCACTTAAGTTCCCAGGTAAGCACAAACATACAAAGAAGAAAATAGTTAACTACTGTAGTTCATTTATTTTAAAAATGGGGAATAAGCAAAAGACAAGTTCATATGCCAATTCAGAAAAGAAATATGACAAGCATAAAAGGATTTTAAAGCAGAAAGAAAAACTATGCTCAAGCTAAAGGTAATTCAAAACAGAAGTTATAATTTCACCGCTTTTGGAAATGTTACATAAGCATATAGAGCTAAGTGCTCCAAAAAGTTTGCAGCAGCCACCAGGGGGCAAATTTAGATTTGAAGTTAGGACTAAGGAAATCGACTCCCCAGGCTGCTGCAGCCTTGAGAGCAGCCCTGGCAGACTGAACAAGAGGACAGAGTGGGTCTGTGCAGTGTGTGGTGGAGGGGGAGGCGGGGGGGGG